CTCTCACACACACACACACACACACACACACACACACACACACACACACACACAGAAGACAAGGTCTTACTGTCTAACTGGCTGGTCTGGAGCTTCCAAGCACTTACCTCTGCCTCCCAAGTGAAACTTGTGTGTGCCACCATTCCTGTCTTGGCTCCTGTCCTACGGTTTCTATTGCTGTGATTGAATACTATGACCAAAGGCAACTCAAGGAGGAAAGGGCTTATTTCAGCTCACACTTCCACATCATAGTCCATCACTAAAGGAAGTCCAAACAGGACCTCATACAGGACAGGAACTTGGAGGCAGAAGCTGATGCAGAGGCCATGGAGAAGTACTGCTTACTGGTTTACTCAGCCTTCTTGCTTATAGAATTCAGGACCACCAGCCCAGGGACGGTACCACTCACAATAGGCTAGGCCCTCTGACATCTATTACTAATTAAGAAAATGAAGGTTTGCCCAGAGTCTGTCCTATGGAGGCATCTTCTCATCTGTGGTTTCTTCTTCTCAGATAACTCTAGCCACGTCACCTTCCCATCAGGGGATTGCACCCCAATCTTCTGAGTGACATTACCCTGTACTAATGAGGGTAAGGCTCTATTCTTAATTATAATATAATTGATCAAGTTTATAGAACACTTAATTGGCATCAGGCTTCATGTTAGACACTTTACCTGGATCATCTCAGTTAATTTTCATAATGAAGTCACGCTAGGATCACCCTCAATTTTCAAAGAAGAGACGTAAGACAGTTAGGTAATGTTCCCAGTATTTCAGAGCTGGCAAAGGGCAAAGCCGGGTTCCCATCTAATTCCCAGAAAAACTGCTTGCAACACTCAGCAGAAGGCCAGAGAGCAGGGGAGTGGCCGAACCGGATCATCTTACCACTATCAGCCCCAGAATCCATTCTTGGGGCCCTCTGGGCCACCCTTTCCCCTGTCACGGCATTGACATCAGAAGCTGCAGCAGAGTCCTAACAGGTGAGTTAACTTCAAACCACCTTTACCAGAAGACATCTAGGCTGGTGGTAGAGTCTGTGCTTAGCACACACTAGGTACTGGGTTCAGTGCCTAGTACCAAAAGTAAGTAAATAAAACCCACAGTGCTGTTATCATTGGATAGCCCAAAACATCACTGCAGCTGTTTTAAGGACTGGGGAGAGGGTAGAGTAAAGAATTCACACAGAACTTGAGATTTTTTTTGTTTGTTTGTTTGCCTTTATTAACTTTATTTGCATCTTGCCCTAAAGTCAAAAGATGAAAAGAAGGTCCTGCATATATCAGTGATGCTGCTGGACTCTTAGGTCACATCGCTGTGTAGTTGGGATACTATTAGGATTTATGTCGCCATCTTAGAATTCTCTGTGGACAATTGCCTTGTAGCAACATTTTATTTATAGTTGTATATATTATGCTTTGTATTTTGATGTAATTATTCAATTATTTTCCCTCTCCTTCTATCCTTGACCTTTTCTTCTCTCCTCATCCTTCTCATCTTCTCTCCTTTCTTTCTATGCTAGAGATGGAACCTAGGTCCTATGCAGGCCAGGCAAACACTCTTCCACTGAGTAGAGTTATTTTTCTGTTTGAAATAATATAGAAAGCTATTAACTTAAAACATCTATTGTCCATATCTATTCTAAAATCCTTTTGTTTTGTCCTTCTTTGATGTCTTAACAAGAGGTCATACCAATTGATGTGATGATGTTCATCATCATTGTGTGTTTAAGGTAGGGCCACCATCTAACCACACTGTACACTAAGACTAGGTCTCTCATCTACTTGGGCCATCACTTGACTTTGAAGCATTTGCTATGAAATGGTGGCTTTTGGCCTGGTTGTTTTACATATCAGCACTCACAGGTACATGTTTATATCTCCTAACAGTCATCTCCGGTGCCAGAACTGTGGCCAAGTAGTACATAGCCCAGTTTACAGCTGAGATTCTAGCCAGAACTACCTGCCAACTGCCATTCAAGGGCAGAGAGACAGCAAGTGCAGGCTCGCATATGTGCTTCAGGGTAATAGGTTCACCAGAGGGCACCTCCTCCCAGCCAGAGCTTTGCTTTGCCAATGGTTACTGAGGGCTTGTTACTTGGCAGATACATTTAGTGTTAATTCTTCAAAGATGAGTAAGATATGGTTCCTGTTCTGCAGACACTCAGACCCTAGCGGGATGGATCAATGTGTAAATGAATCATTACAGCATATGGGAACATGGCTGGGGTGGCACCGAGAAAGCTGTGCCCATCTTGTGTCAGAAGAGAAAAACATTACAGACATGGGTCTTGAATAATGGCAGAAATCCTCACCTGCTCCCTAGAGGTCAGAGAAGAACATTCTGG